ACTTATAACTATACAAGATATCGCCAGGCACCAGAGCATATCCAGCTACATGCCGCTCCTCAGCTTATCATAAGGTCCATACTCGCTAATGTAAAGTGTTCTATATTAGATGACAGGCTCCGAAACCTGCTCACTAAAAATGACATACCAATTTATGAACGTAAATGGCCTGAACAGCCCATTCAAAAGAAGTTCTGTGATTAAAACTATGCACAAATCTCAGGCAGCCATAGCTTGTCTCCAAGAGACACACACGTGTAAGAGAAACCCTCCCAATCTAATCTCCTCTAGATACCAACAGGTGTTCCATGCCCTTTCACCAAACAAAACAAAAGGGGTAGCAATACTGTTCCATGTAGATTGGGTTTTCCAACCCGACAAAACATACGCAGACGAGCAAGGCAGGCTCCTCGTTGTGGTGGGCTCACTGAACGGAATGCAACTCACGATTGCATCCATATATGCACCTAACAACTCCCAAACATCCTTCATTAAGAGAGCGTTAAATAAGATTACTAACCTCCGTGTAGGACACACTATAATCTGTGGAGACCTCAATTGCACATTAGACCCCGAACTAGACATCAAGCGCACCGAAGGTAAGCACCCTCTACAGCAATCCAGCACTATGAGTGCTATCTTTCGCACACTGCTTCACACGTACGATTTCTATGACTCATGGCGCATTCTCTACCCGAAGGAGAAAAACTACACCTATTTCTCATGGGTACACCACACTTACTCCCGCATAGACATGTGCTGGGTAGATAAGATCACGTTACCCAATGTTATAGAAGTGCAAATAGGTGACAGGACCTGGTCTGACCACGCGCCGGTAATCACCATGTTCAGAGCTCTGTACCCAGCCCGAGGGCGCAGTGTTTGGCGCCTGAACAAATCTCTCATAGATAACACAAACACAGCCACCAAAATTCGCGCAAACATAACATCGTTCTTTGAGACCCACCAAACAGACCCCTCCCGCATAGACACCAAATGGCTGGCCCTCAAAGCCATACTAAGAGGCCTTATAATCCAGGCAGGAGCGATAAATAAGCGGAAGACCTACACTGAATCAGATAAACTGCTCTCACAACTCAAAACATTAGACAGAGACAACAAACTAAAACCAACTAAAACCCTATCCCAACAAATTGAAAAGATAAGAGAAAGGCTACATGCATTGTCCCTGATAAACATGGAAAGGCAGCTTCGCAAGCTGAAACTCTCCTACTACATACTAAAATCCCGATACATACAATCCAAACTCCCATTTATGACATCAGCCACAGGGTCAAAACTATTTAACCCACAAGACATAGTGAACGAATTGGCGAATTTCTACACTGGTCTATACAATCTTACACCGGACAAAACACTACACCAGCCACTAGAGTCGGACATAAACACCTTTCTGAAAGAGGCGACACTGCCACGCCTGACCGCCCAACAAAGCTCGATCCTGTCAGCTAAATTCACAGAAGAAGAAGTACGAAACGCAATATACAAATTACCCAAACAGAAAGCCCCGGGCCCGGATGGGTTCTCTAACCACTTTTATTCTACATTCGAGGCACAGCTCACACCATACCTCACAGACCTTTTTAACTTCTTTAGGGACTTAGAATCCATGCCGGAGGAGATGCTGCTAGCCCATATTGTTACGCTCCCTAAGCCTGGCAAACCTCCCACTGAATGCGCTAACCTGAGGCCCATCTCACTGCTGAATGCAGACACAAAACTTTACGCCAAATTACTAGCTACCCGCCTCCAACCCTTCCTACAAGATTTGGTCTCCCCAGAACAGGCAGGTTTTGTCCCTAACAGGCAGCCGGGGGATAATACGCGACACTTTCTGAACCTAATCACATGGGCTCAGAAAACTAACCAAAGAGGCGTACTGTTAGCCCTAGACGCCGAAAAAGCGTTTGATCGCTTAAATTGGGCTTACATGACGGCTGTTTTGACATCCATAGGCATCCCCTCAGAATTCCTGAAAGGCATAATGGCTCTATACTCCAAACCGGCTGCCAGAATATTTATCTTTGGGTTTCTTTCACAACCCTTTCAAATAACAAACGGATCCAGGCAGGGATGTCCCCTCTCCCCATTAATCTTTATCTTATGTATGGCACCCCTAATTAGACACATTAAAAAATGACAAAAATATTGAAGGCCTAGCTACACCAATAGGAGTTCAAAAAATAGCCCTCTTCGCGGATGATGTTCTCCTGTTCTTAACACACCCGGAGAAATCTTTACCAAATTTGCTAGCTCTATTAGGGAATTACGTAAAGATGTCATTCTATAAAAACAACTCCAAAAAGACACAAGCGATGGCGATAGGGCTGTCATATACCTCTCTAACACTCCTGAAAACACTGTACCCATTCGAGTGGCGGAACACCTCCATCTCCTATCTGGGCATAAAATTGCCAGAAAGGCACTCGGCGATAATACGGGAAAACCATTTACCGCTCAGCCACAGACTAGAACAACAACTTAAGTCCTGGGAGGATAAAGAGATTTCCTGGCTGGGGCGAGTCCACACCATAAAAATGATGATTTTACCACATATCTTATACTTATTCCGCACCCTACCCATTACAATCCCAAACCCAATTCTAGAACTTTCAGGCTATAATCAATGCACACATCTGGAAACGAAAACCCCCTAGATTAGAGCAAAAATCACTCTGGCGTCCATTCATAAAAGGAGGGCTAGGCATACCTAATATAAAACTATACTACAAAGCGTCATTGCTGGCACAAGGCCTCACGATCCTTGAACGACCATCTCCTCCGGTATGGCTGGCGTTGGAGAACGCTTGCCTACCCACTGGCTCAATTCCTCTGACCCTTTGGGCAGGTTCAAAACTCCCCAAATCCAAATACAAATCCTTGCTACCTACCACGGATTCGCTACTCCAAACTTGGAAGCAAACTACTATTCCTACAAGAAAATGACCTGCTCCTTGCAGCCCCACTTCAGGCCCTGGCTGTGCGAACGTCAGACATGCAACTAGATAACTGGCTCAAACAAGGGGTCTATCAAGTACGCTCCTTACTGACCCCAGATGGCATCAAGCCTTTCCCAGACTTAATCAGGGAATACCATATCCCTCCCACGAGAATTATTCTCTTATCTTAGAATAAAAAATATAATACAGGAATGCAGGATTAGCCTGAGGGAACCTAATCTCTTACCACCATTTATCCACAAATGCATGGGTAAACTACCAAAAACTAAAGCATTGTCCCTATGCTACAACACACTCCTACTTCAGAATAACTTAACAAAACCATTGTATATGACTAAATGGGAATCAGAGATAGGAAAGCAATTACCGATAGCAACATGGCATCAAGCTCAAAAGAAAACAAAACGGGCCTCCCACAGTCTTAACCAATGGGAAACATTCTGTAAATTAATGATGCGCTGGTACCTAGTCCCCACCAAACTGGCTCATATTTACCCTGGGTCAGACAAACAATGCTGGAGATGTCACAACCACGAGGGGTCCCTCTATCATATATTCTGGACATGCACACAAATCACCACGCTATGGCGGGATATACAAACACTTCTTCATAAAAATCTGGGAGTAACGGTACTTCAGACACCAGAGTGCTTTCTATTACATATCTTCCCAGACACCCTCCCTGAAGATAAGAGTTGCCTAACGATTCACTGTTTAATGGCCACCAAAACTGCCATTGCGCACAGATGGAAGTCCACACTGACACCAACACTGCCAGAGATCCTAGGCAGGATAGATTCAACTCACGCATACGAACGTATGGCTAGCCGACTAAACGATAGTCAAAGCAGACACGAGACACGGTTGCAGAGATGGGTGGACTATAGATATGGAGTGCCCCAATAGGGGCTGTAGGCCATGCCATTATAGATATGGAGTGCCCCAATAGGGGCTGTAGGCTTCCCCCCTGCCTCCTGCGTCAAGAAATCAAGCACACTATATTTCACCAAGCTGTTTACCTGTTTAACTATTAACGCTTTGTAACACAATGATCAAATTGTCAACTGTCTCTTCTATATTAACTTAACACAGTTTGTACCGACGCATTTGTAAAGATTGTTGTAAGCTATGCAAGCTGTCTCCCTCTTCCCCTCTTTCCTTCTGTATCCCCATCTTTGTTTTGTATAAATTGTTTCTTTGTGAACGATTTAAAAAAGTGAAAATAAAACACATTGGGGAAAAAAAAAGAAACTGGTTAACAAAAATGACAAGGTGCTGGAAGATGGAATCTGTTCCTGCCGCAATGGGATGACCAGGTGGATGAAGGGCATACTTATGGACCTTGGGCAGAGTGTAAAAAACAATCTTAGAAATTTATTAATAAGAAAACCAAACTGGGATTTGTTAATTATCTCATATTGGAGAGCCTTATCCACTACAGTGTGGATTTCAGCAGGCTTAGCTATGATTTCAGGATTCTGTGAAATCTCTTTCAAGGCAGTTTTTTCTGTTAATGTAAGGTTGTGTTTAGTGTTTTGCTGATGCCAAGGTAGTTTCTCTACCTTGGAATTCACAAGACTACAAAAGGTCTGGATGGCATGATAAGATACAACTGGGGAAAAGGTACTTTTCTTTTTACAAATCTCCAAATTGGCTGGATACTTAGAAGGTGTGCCCGCTGGGATGTCATCTCCTGGACGAGGGTTGTCTCCCTGGCATGGGGGTTGATGGCCTGAAAAGATGTCTGTGCTGTGCTGATATACTGTTGGAACTACAGTAATAGACTCTGCAGCTCGGGTTTTATTACTTTTTTTTGTAGCAAAATTGTGTAGGCAGATAGTGCCTCAACCTCATCCTATGCATAGTGATCATATCATAGTGAGATGTATTACAGTGGAGCTCTGGTATACAAAATTACTCAAACGACACGTTGACTACTAGCGCCAGGAAAGATGTCCATCGCCATTTATAGATGGATACGCTCCCCCACTAGATAACCATAACCTATATGTGAAACCTCATAGACCAAAGCTGCCAATATCACAGATTGATACACAGGAACTCCAGGCATGGATGCTGGTGGATCAACAAATATAATGCTCACACAATTTCGTAAACTACCCCTTCCAACATACTAGAAAACCACAAAACGTGTCGTTCATAAACCCCACCCTCTTTCTCATTTCTGTACCCCAACCCCCTTCCTTCCAAACCTTGACTTGGCTACCTGAATTGTTTATGTTGCACCACCTAGGAATTGTTATCACGATACACCAGGATGTCAAACCAACAACCGTTACAAAAACCAAGAGACAACACGATGTCTAATGTTGAATGTATCAAGTGAAATGTATGGTACAATGATGTTTTCTTTTTTTTCCCCCACATTCCTCTTTTTCCTTTCTGTACCCTATTGTTGAAAATACAATAAAAAGTCAAATAAAAAAAAAATGCACATTACTCTGTGCTTGATAGTTACGGAGCTCTGTGATACACTAATAGGCCCATTACTGGGAGTTATATTACTGTGTAGTGTATGAGCTTGTCACAAAGCTCCACATAGTACCGTGAGGGTTGTGAGGGTTTTTTGTTTGCTGTGGAGCTCAGTGATAAAAGGATAAACAGTGCATTACTATGAGTTTTTATTCCAAAAAGATCAAGGTAAAAAAGGAAAATCCAGAGCTCCAAAGCAAAAGAACTCGCAGTGTAATGCAGGGGAGGCAGTCTGGCACCTCTGGCCTGCACTTCTGTTGGCTGCAGACCAAAAATAGCTGTCTTTTTAGCTCTGGCCAATCAGAGCATTGCAGCAGGATACCACAGGAAAGCTCTTACACTATAAGTGTCTGAGCTTGCATGGCCTGCACCCAGTGGAGAGGCAGACCAGATTCCCAGTACAGTGGAACACCAGAGATCAGCATGCCCGTCTTTGAAAAGGTAACAACAGGAAAGGAGGAATGAATATATGTTTTTAAATCATTGTTAATTTAATGATCCCCTATACAAACACTAGAACCCTATACACACACACACTATACATAGATGAAGGGGGATGGTGGGCTGTGAAGATTCTTCGTACAGGGCGCCTAAAGGTGTAAGGCTATTACAATTATATGATATTGTTATTTGAAAAACAATTAAAATAATTACAGAAAAAAAAAAAAAACAAGACGGAGATAAGATCCCTGCACAGACACTGACAGTACAATTATCCCAAGAAAGGGCAAGGATGTTGAGCAGTGCACAAACTATAGACCAATCTTACTACTTAACTGCAATTTGAAGCTTTTTGCTAATTTGGCTACACGCCTTCAACCGTACATCACCTCACTGATTCATTTGGATCAAGTGGGATTCGTGCAGAGAGCTCCAGCACAATACTACATGGGCGCCGATGATGATCCATGGTAAAAGAAGTAGGTTGAATGAGCTTTTCCTGCTGTCTACTGACGAGGAGAAAGTGTTCGACTGGGTACAATGGAACTTCTTGTTCTACACATTGTAGTGGATGGGTCTGGGAACCTTTCTATTGGGCTGGATTTGGATCCTCTATCAGAACCCGTCAGCACAGAGCCATTCCAAATTCAGCACGACACTCGCCAAGGATGCCCTCTATCGCTGCTGCTCTTCATCTTTACCCTTCAACTGTTTCTGGGACCATTAGATAGAACCCTGACATAAATGGAGTTAGAGAGGGAGAATTTTCCCTCTGAACCTTATGAGAGGTTTTCTCAAATAAAGATGATAAATCCACAATACTAAACATCAATATGCCAAATAAGCGTGCCCTGCCTTTCCATGAAATGCATTTTAGTGGTCAGACTCAAAAATAAAATACCTGGATATCAAAGCATCAGATTTATACTCAAATAATTTCACCCTTATGTTGACTACTTTTCAAAAAGAACTCTGGGATATTCACAAATCATGGTTCCGATGATACCAAGTTATAAAAATGAATCTTCTCCCTTACCTTTTATATATCTTTCAGACAAATCCAATTATATTGCCAAGGGCATTTCTTGCCTCCCTGAAGCATAGCACTGCTGGGGTATGTTTACAGGGGAAGAAGACCAAAAACAGAAATTCTGCTTGTTGAGCAGGCCGAAACTAGATTGAGGCTTGGCCCTATATTATAAAGCATGTCAGGCCAAGCCTCCAGCTTATTGTGGAAGTCAATGGAGGAGATGATGGTGGGCCTGGAATGCAGCAGTTTTGAGGAATGGAATTTCCTACTTGCCTTCCCACTGCTACCCTTGATATAGAACCCAAAGTTCCCACCGGGATTAAATCTCAAAGCCTTTTCTATCATATTACCATACTCACTACCAAGAGTACACATTTTGACTTGGACCACTTGACTACATGGTCGAGAAAGGAAACATCTCCTTTATGTAAAGCTTCCATTACAAAAAAATCCATGGTTTTGTGAATAGCATCCCACAGAAATCCTCTATGTTTAGAGACCTGGACTCCTTTGAATTTACCTGCATGAACCAGATGTATTGGCGCATAGGGTGTCCTAAATGTACTCCCTGCTATTATCCTATCTCCATACAGCCTGTCCACCATTCATAGGACAATGGGAAACATACACCAGGGAAGCCTAGTGGGAGACACAGAAAATGTGCGATCTAACATCTCCAGTAAGTCCCATGAGACATCATGCAAATGTATGTTTTGCTGGTACTACACCCCTTTGTTCCTACAGAAAACAAACCCAGGTTATGCTGGTACTGTGTGTAGGAACCTGGAAAACTGAAACGCTTATGGTGAGACAGTAAAATGATTCAGTACTTTAGGAAGGGAATAAATTCCATGCTGGGAATTTTTTTCTGCCTCACTGCCTCTTTTAAACAAGCACCCATATTACTGCATCACACTAAAACCCCTAGAGCAAAATTCAGGAATTCCATCATGATCTAACTTAAATGTAGCTAAACAGGTTCTGGAAACAACCAGTTAGTCCCCCACTTCAATCCTGGTTTGCTTATTTTGTAGAGTTACATAGTTTAGAGCAGTGTTCCTCAACCCAGTCCTCATGGACCACTAACAGTCCAGGATTTATGTATTTCTCTGTTTTATTTTAATGGAGAACAAAACCTGGACTGTTTGTGGTCCATGAGGACCGGGTTGGGGAACACTGGTCTAGAGGAGTTACATTTTGGGGCTTCAGATAAAATGAACTTATACATGTCAATTTGGTCTCACTGGACACTTACCACCTCTAACTAGGATTTTCAGATGGTCTGGGGCTAGATCCACCGCAGGAGTACACAGATGAGGTGATACAGAGGGACTTGGATGATCCTTTTCCCCTCCCCTTCTTCTTCCCTTCCTATTCTCTTTTATCGTTTATCTCTTTTATCGTTACTTTTATGTTCACGAACACTTACACATTATAACATAGAATATACACAGCAGAACATTTCTGGAAACTATTTTTGACTGCGTGTCCGAAACATTGTTTAGATGCACAATTCTAAGCATGGGAATATAATGTTTTTGTACTACCAAGTTGCATGCCTTAAAGCTCATGCATGACGATATACTTTATTAATGTCAATCTTAATGTACTTTGTTAATGTTTCTCTGACAAAAACATAAAAAAATTTATTCACAAAAAAAGAAAAAAAAAAGATATTCCAGACCTGGATTCCCCTGTTGAAACCCAAACAACCATCTGAGGTTGTTATATCTCTTGTAAAAATAGAGTCAGTCATCATTTTGATCCAACCCACAAGGCCAGCCCAGACTCAGTTTGGTATATGGCAAACTAAGGTTATCTCTGTAATGGCACAAATTGTTGTGCCTAAGTTCATGAAGCGCCAATATCCAAAAAAAAAGTAATAATCAGAACCTAAAAAGGTTTAAAGTGATACTAAAGTGATGAGTATCTTGAACTATAGGAAAGAGAAATCACACAGAGACCAAGTTAAATATAAGAATTCACATTCCATTTTATTGTCCATAAAGGGACCCAATACGTGGTATTCTCATTTAAGTTATTGCATGCATTCATATCAAACATAGAAACATAGAATGTGACGGCAGATAAGAACCATTCGGCCCATCTAGTCTGCCCAATTTTCTAAAAACTCATTAGTCCCTAGCCTTATCTTATAGTTAGGATAGCCTTATGCCTATCCCATGCATGCTTAAACTCCTTTACTGTGTTAACCTCTACCACTTCAGCTGGAAGGCTATTCCATGCATCCACTACCCTCTCAGTAAAGTAATACTTCCTGATATTATTTTTTAAACCTTTGTCCCTCTAATTTAAGACTATGTCCTCTTGTTGTGGTAGTTTTTCTTCTTTTAAATATAGTCTCCTCCTTACTGTGTTGATTCCCTTTATATATTTAAATGTTTCTATCATATCCCCCCTGTCTCGTCTTTCCTCCAAGCTATACATGTTAAGATCCTTTAACCTTTCCTGGTAAGTTTTATCCCACAATCCATGAACTAGTTTAGTAGCCCTTCTCTGAACCTCTCTAAGGTATCAATATCCTTCTGAAGATACGGTCTCCAGTACTGTGTACAATACTCCAAGTGAGGTCTCACTAGTGTTCTGTACAATGGCATGAGCACTTCCCTCTTTCTACTGCTAATACCTCTCCCTATACAACCAAGCATTCTGCTAGCATTTCCTGCTGCTCTATTACATTGTCTGCCTACCTTTAAGTCATCAGAAATAATCACCCCTAAATCCCTTTCCTCAGATGTTGAGGTTAGGACTCTATCAAATATTCTGTACTCTGCCCTTGGGTTTTTACGTCCAAGATGCATTATCTTGCACTTATCCACATTAAATGTCAGTTGCCACAATTCTGACCATTTTTCTAGTTTACCTAAATCATTTGTCATTTGGCTTATCCCTAGTGGAACATCAACCCTGTTACATATCTTAGTATCATCAGCAAAAAGACATACCTTACCATCAAGACCTTCTGCAATATCACTAATAAAAATATTAAAGAGAATGGGTCCAAGTACAGATCCCTGAGGTACCCCACTGGTGACAAGTCCAAGCTTCGAATATATTCCATTAACTACAACCCTCTGTTGCCTGTCACTCAGCCACTGCCTTACCCATTCAACAATATTGGAATCCAAACTTAAAGATTGCAGTTTATTGATAAGCCTTCTATGTGCAACAGTGTCAAAAGCCTTACTGAAATCTAGGTAAGCAATGTCTACTGCACCACCCTGATCTATAGTTTTAGTTACCCAATCAAAAAAATCAATAAGATTAGTTTGGCATGATCTCCCTGAAGTAAACCCATGTTGTCTCTGATCTTGAAATCCATGTGTTTTTAGATGTTCATCAATCCTATCCTTTAA